ATACACATTGACTAGCTGGAAATGTGAAATAAGAAATATGTCTGATATGGAAAAGTCACCAATGCAAGATCTTCTTGGAAACAGGGTCATTATTGAAAAGAAATCATTTATAAGACAGTATATAGTTACTGTAAATGATGTTCAATCTTTTAAATTTAGCATTTGTAGGAATATTATAATTTCCATTCCTGCTTTTATAAAGGCAGGCATGGTTTGGCCCTTATATCCTGGCTTGTCACCAGAAGAGATTATTCAGTCAAGGAAGAAACAAGAACTGTGTAAGACAATCTCAAAGTAATTACTGTAGACTTCAGAATAGTCTTACTGGGGAGCAATTTCGGAGAAATAAACCATGATTGCTTCTGTAGCTCTGGTAGAAATAGTAAATGTTTGGTAACTAATGGTTCTGGAGGCTGTGGACATCAGTTTCAAGAAACAGGAAGAACTTGGGACTTGACAACAGAAGTTCTGGATTCAGGTTCTGTTGCTTCCATTACTGACTATGTAGCTCCAGGCAATTCACTCATTTCTTTGCTTATCAGTTTCATCTTGTATCAAATAAAAATAATAACGTCTATCCTGATGCTCTTCAGGATTGTTTTGTGAGTCAAAGAAGATACAATGTGAGAGCCCTAGGCACATGATTGTGCTTTCCATTTTTACTAATGTCAAAACAAGAGTCAAGAATGAAGCATTTTTGTTTGTGGAACCTAAATATATGCCCTGGCCTATGAGAAGAGAAAAGTAAAAGAGATTTAGTCTCTTTAAATTTCCACTAAATTTAATTATAATTAGTTTAATTCTGTTTAATTATTCAAATTTTACTTAAGCACATCACTTTACCTCACAGCATATGCTTTTGACCTGTTTGGCCGAATGAGATTGGGGAAGAGGAACTTAGATTGGGGCAGGGTTAAGGGAGGGAGAGGGTCTTGGTTTACAGCTGGTTACCAGAAAAGGTGGGTGTGGGTGTGCTTTGTCAAGACTTGGTCATCAGATGAGGTCTTAGCAAGATAGATTCAAGACTCTTTGGGAGTGGGCCTGGGCATGGGGAAGGAAAAAAGGGTAGGATCTATATGTTTTGGGGTACAGAGAGGTTTGGGAGGGGCAGGATCTGGGGTTTCTGTTAGGGAGATGGGAGAAAGCCTGGAGGGGGTGAAGGAGCTCTTCCAGAAGAAGGAAGAACTAACCCAGAGAAAGAGAATGGCCTGGGAAATTCTCTTCTAGAAACCACTGTAGGGTCAACTTCGATTATGAAGCTTTTTAATACTGGACAGTTTTTTCTTATTTCTAGTTTTAATCAATAGTTGCTAAAGTTAAGTTGTCCTAGAGTAGCACAGAAAGACATGTATTTAGGGTCAGGTGAATGGGAGCAAACTTGCCTTTCCGTAATATGGTGAGCTATAGAGGAGACAAATTTGGATCAGAGTTTGGCTGGTGGTCAGGAAAAGAAAAGTGTATGGGCCAAATCTTATTTATACTTGGCATTTGCTCTGACAGACACCTTCAACCCTAACGGTTAGATAAGGAAGAAGGAGGAGGCCAGGAGATGCCACAGACACATTTCACTCTGGCTTTCTTATTCTACCTTGCTGTTGACCACCATCTCCTTCTTACCTGCTAACTCAGTCCTTTTCCTCCAAGAATTTCTGTTTTGCTTCAAAGTCCTGTGCTTTTCCGCTTCAGTGTTTGTACTTCCAGTGGCCCGAGCTTTTTTATTCTCTCTGCTTAGAGGATGATTAAGGAGAAGTCCCAGCTGTGTCTCTGGCATGTCCTACTAATTTGCTTTCCCATAGAAATATTGATGAACATTAAAATATTTCTGCTCATAATGGATGACCTACATTTCTTTAGGTGAGCTAATAAACTAGCCATCTTTTATTGCTTTACTTTTACAAGACGAGGTTTTATAAGGTCTAAACAACTTTCTTTGGTTATATGTAAATTTTGGACAAAGCTTATTTGGTGATATATAAATTTTGGAGAAATCCAAATTTCGGGTTGGAGACTGACTACATTATAGGAAAATAGAGACATTGGAACCAGAAAACTTTGATGTACATTCAGGCCCCACCATGTACTGGCTGCATGACTTTGGGCAACTCATATTACTGCTTTAAAAATCAGTTTCCTCTGTGGGAAGGATATAAAAAAAATTTAATATTATAAAATAAGGAACTGAAGGATGCTTCCATAAAGACTATCTGTTTGAAGCCTAGAATCAACATCAAACTTATTGGTGAGCAGCTAGAATCTTTGCTATTTTAATCAGTTAAAAGTCTAAGGTGTCTGTGCTTACCATTACTTTTGAACATTGTTTCGGAAATTCTGGCCTATGTAATAAGACATGCAGAAAAATATTAATGTGAGAGAATTGCAGGAAAGAAGGGTCTGAAGAATAACTGCAATGAAAAGTGAGTTGGGCCTGTGTAAAGAATAAACAGGTAGAAACAGCCAAGAACATGTTTTGGAAAAGAAATTCAAAATATTTTTCTGACCAAATGTTGTGTGCTCTATAAAGTTTATACTGTGAGCACAAGAATTGACAGATGGATCAGAAGAAGAGAAATGAACAGCCCTGAAACCAGTGTCTAGTTGGCTTAATTGAGGACTTATGATGTGCTAGGCACTGAAGTAAGAAATTTCTGTACGTTATCTGGTTTAACACTTACGACAAGACTGCAAGATGGGCATTGACAAGATAGACTTGACCAGGTGTCAACACTGACATAAGAACTTTTGAGTTGTGCCTCAAAGCAAAATTGGCACTGATGAACTAGGAAGAAGTGGATTATTTCACTAGTGGTGCTAGGGAATGTCTGGGAGAGGTGGTGATAAAAAATTGTAGTAAATACTCCTCTCATGCCATACCTGTGATAAAGTATACATGGGTTAAAAAAAAAAAAGCCAAGAGTAGAAGGTAGTGATAGGGACTGGGAGGACAAGCAAAAGAAAACATAAGTAGCTATTTAACTGATACTGGATTGAGGAGGAACTTTCTAAGCATAGAAGCCAGAGAAGACATCCCAAAATAAGTGATTGATCTATTTAATCACATAAAATTTAAACTTCTGTGCATCAAAACCATTATAAACCAAACCTAAATGCAAATAACAGACTGGGAAAGCAAATGAAAATATTTATATAATTATGATACACAAATGATTAATATCCTTATTGTCTAAAGAGCTCTTACAAATCAATAGAAAACCACAAATCTCCTAAGTAAGAATAGTCAAAGGTGCAAAGGGGGAGAACTGCAATCAATTTTAAAAATTGCTTAGTTGTAATAACAAGAAAAAATAACTCGAATAAAAAGTACATACCATTTCACTATGAAATAAAAAATATTTTATGAAAATGCTATGATATATTTATGACTGTTTAGAGAAATGGACACTTTCCTATATTGCAAATTGTTCTCTTGATGAGCAAGCTGTAGATTTTGCCCTTTTGGTGGGCACATGATAGGCAAGTGCCAGTGAAAAAGTTTGTTCCTTTCCTTCAACAATACCATTTTGGTGAATTTCACTTAAGGAAATTAGCAGATAAAAAGTCAAGATTTTTATGCAAGGAGATTATTACAATGTTAGGTATGCTAGACAAACAAAAATGTATATCATAAATATGAGGAAGTATTTGAAAAAATTTTGCCATGTAATTAGGAAGATTAGGATGCAACTATTAAGACCATATTTTCAGACTATAATATGGAAAAATGATATAATTTTAAGGGGAAAAGGCTAGATATTCTGTATATATGGAATAATTTTGATCTTGTTTAAAACATTGTATATGTGAGACCGTGTGTATTGAAAGAGAATGAACAAAACATTAACTTTTCTACTAATGGTAGGATTATGATTGATTTTTGTTTTCTGTGCTTGGCACATTTTCTGTAGTCGATGTGCATTGCTTTATGATTATACAAAGCTATTACATTTACTGTTTTAGAAGTTGTGAAGATTAAATAAGAAAATCTAGCTGAGATACCAGGAATAAAGTTAAGATTTTAGAAATGTTAATTTCCTTCTATTTTTTTCTGTATTGGAAGCTCAAATAGAAATCTGGAATTGCAGATTTAATTCTGTATGATTTGATAGTGGGTTTTTGAAAGCTGACAAAATGAAATCATTTTTGTGGTGTCAACTTGAATCACCTTTGATAGAGTCGAATGAACTGTACACAAGCGTAAAGTTAACTACAAAGTAGAATGTTTCTTTCTTTACATTCTACATATTTAAACTTCAATATCAGTTGGAATAATTTGCGTTTTGTACATACTACTATATTCTGATCAGAAATGAGCTAAAGGTATTTCTTCCCTGATAGAATCAAGTTAACATTTTGTAAAAACAGAAAGTCAGCCTTAATCTTCATCTTGGAGTTCCTGTACTCAGAGTAGATCCTTAGTTTTCTATTTTGAGGTTGTAATAATATTATAGGAACCATGTCATCTCTTGCTTAATCAAGCTTTTGACTTTTACATGCCTTGCTATTCTGACCCTTGATAAACAATATTTACAGTAATGAAGTTTGGGAGAAAATGGATTTCTCATAATAGCTGTGCTAGAAAGTTGAATGGGAAAATGTTTTCCGATGCCAGCATTTTCATGCGGAGGAGATTTTTTAAAAATTATCTTTGTTATTACTGTTACAGTTGCATCTCATTGGTATATTCATTTCAAGTTCAAGATCATACTTTTTATGTATCTGGCACAATTTTATTTTAAAAAATTCTCTTTAGACTATTGATACTATTGATGTGGTGTTCCTGCTTTTCTTTCTTTTGGAGTTATCTAAGCATTTCCTGCAGATGTCTTTTTTTTTTTTTTTTTAACTAGAATCCATCGTATTTCCTATTTTACTTTGTGTTCTCCCCTTTTAAGGCACTTACTATGTTTATAAGTCAATTAATAATGTGCCTGTGTAAATCACTGTCATGGCAAATCATGGTATTCTTTTATGTTTGCTAAATATTTGTTTCTTTACTTTTTTAGGGCGACTTTGGATCAGATTATTCACGAAGTTCTATAAAGGTAATGAAAATTACAACTAAACTCAACAAATATTTTGTGTGGACAAGTTTCTTGTAATTATAAACATAGACTCAAATGAATTATTTACAGGAGATGGTACTTTTAAACCAGTTTATTATTGTTGTTGTTGTTGTCCTTGTTATTTAACTAGAGGACAGTTTGAAGGCTTTTATACTCTTGCCTAGTGGGGCCACCTGAACATGTGCTCATGGTAGGATAATTCCTTGATGTTATTAGTTATGTTTCACATCTGCTTCTCAGCTGTGCAGTTTGAGGCTTGATTTAATGGCATGTACCGAGTAACCAAGACCCCCTAGAGACTGGTACAGCATCCATTTCTCCACTGCTAATGCCATGAAAATTAAATGTTTGATTTAGCTAAACTGGAAAGTATGTGGGAGTCCAATTATGATCAGGTGTTTGCTTCTAGATCTGGAATTAGAACAAGGAGAGTCACTTCAGTTGTTTTAATAGTGAAAGACCTTTAGCTATGGTAACCTGATACGTCTGTCTAACCTTGAAAGGTATTCTGCTCAGTGGGTTATGCAGGCTACCTTTATCCTATACAGTAATGTGTAAATGCTTCAACCCTCTCCCTCTTGGCCTCTATCTTCCTGGAGTCATCACCGTTCATTGCGCCATATGTCCATGTCAGCCACTACTCTTTTCAACCAACAGGGTCAGGTAAAGGTTAGGACAGACTGCATTTGAATGTCAGTTCTACTTGCTTCATTTTCTTCATATAGAAATAATAGTATCTGCCTCATAAGTTTGTTGTGAGAATTTATTGAAACAAAACATTTAACTTGGTGCCATTTATTAACTACAAGCTTAATAAATATTAATATAATTCACATTATTATTATTTTTTTCCTAAGATGAATTCTACATTCATATGTATATATTTTACTAGACTGAATTATGTGAAATTGCCATTTTGGTAATTAAAAAATAGTCTAACACCAATCATTTTATATGATTAAACTCATTATTAATTAACTTATAATTCTATTTTCTCTCTGTATCTTTTAGTTACTTTGCTTCTGTAACATATTCACTACATAATTCTGTGATAGACTTGAATTACCTTCCTTTTTGTTGAGATGGAGTCTTGCTCTGTTGCCCAGGCTGGAGTGCAGTGGTGCTATCTCAGCTAACTTCAACCTCTGTGTCCTGAGCTCAAATGATTCTCCTGCCTCAACCTCCTGAGTAGCTGGGATTACAGGCACACATCACCACACCTGGCTAATTTTTGTATTTTTGGTAGAGATGGGGTTTTGCCATGTTGACCAGGCTGGTCTCAAACTCTTGACCTCAGGTGATCTGCCTGCCTTGGCCTCCTAAAGTGCTGGGATTACAGGCATGAGCCATGGTGCCCAGGCTAAATTATCTTCCTAAAACGATTTTTTGTTTGTTTGTTTTGTCTAGTAAAAGGACTGAATAATGCCAATTTTTTATTAATGAATGACTTCTAAGAATGATAATTTAGTCTAGTAAGACTTTGACATTGGTCAGGAGGCTCATGATGTTACCAGCTGGGCTCCAGCTCAGGAGGATATTGTAATGTTGCTGGTCAATATTAACTGTGTCACCAGTAATATGCTAAAATCAGATTTATCTGGGTCAGGCACACAATTTCATCTTAGCTGTATGATATGTTCTACCTATCAAAGTATTTTTCCATTTTTAGTGTATTTACTTTCTCAATAATTTTAAGGAGCAAAAGTATAACTATTTTAATCCTTTAAAGATTAAAAATGAAATCACACATTAACCAACTTGATCAGGAGTATAGATCTAGTTAGTGGATATTCAAAGAATTAAATTTAGGTCTTCATAATTTCAAAGCTAAGACAGGCTTTTTAGGTCTTATCCCAAACTCATTTGATGTAATTGGATAAGTAATTCTCCCAATTTCTTCCATTCCTACTATATTTCCAAGATTCTGTGTTTGCTCTAAAGCATTCTCTATGCTTTAGAAATTTATATCTAGTATACTTAATATAATTTTTAGAATGAATGGAAAATTAATACCCTGATGAAGAACAAAAATATAGGTTGTCACATCTCAAGATTGCATTATTTTAGTTTATCTTAAACTTTCTATGAGAATGAAATAACTATTCATATATGGATTGAGGACTTTCCTGTTCTCTTTTACTCACATATTTGTGTACAGTCCAACCTCATTTATAGTCCTTAGCCATTTAAACAGCTTCTGAAATGAATGTGTGGTTATGCTACCTTCTGCAGCAATTTTTAAAAGTGGTTTAAATGCTGTCTTTACTGAAATTCTAACTCTGTACATGTGATGCCAGAAGACACAACAGCTATTGGGAATGCCAGGCTGAAATGACTTCTTTAGAGGCTCCAACACCACCGGGAATTCAGTTACGTGAGTGATTAAAACTGAGTGAGGCAAAAAGAGATGAGAGTTGATACCTTTTATCCCCAACTTAAAAGTATCTCCTACTGTACATTTTTGGTATCTTGGGAGCATTTCTTCTAGACTTGAACCTATCTAGGTATACAGTTATCTGCCTTGGTGCTTTGGAACCCTGAAGCAGCTCAATTTGCCTTCTTTCTTCCTTGTCATAGTTTCAAAGAATGTACATTTCAGAAGTGAGAGCTCTGAGCTTGATGGAGGTAACTTGCTGCTTGGCACCCACACAGCTCCCGTAGCTCTTGTCGCTTAATGGTCCAACCCTCTTTGCCAGCAAAATGATGTCTGGGGCCTCAGCGGAAAATGTGGAATCCTTTTTCAGAATCTCTGTTATTGCATCTCCTCACTCAGCTAAAATATTAAAATTCTTCTGGGATTAGGGAATGAGACAGGAGTTCATAGTGTACAAATTGAAGAGGTAGTTTGGATGAAATCTGAATTTAATAAGATAAGAGTGTCAATAAAAATTAAAGAAAAACCATTTTTTTTTTTTTTGGTACCTGATTCTTTCTCCATATCTTTGCCCCACCCCTCCACTGCTTTGATTATGTGTTTCTATAGAATACGACTCCAGTGGCAACATTTAGGAAACTGAGGTCACTTTTTAGATTTTGTATGCCAAACACTTGCCTAAGCAAGCCTTTGATTTAGATTCCCGTAAATGTGACTTGACATCTACAGATAGGTGTGCTGTCAGGACGCTCGATTTACTTAATAGAAAGGATGAAGGAAAGTGTGAGCCTATCTGATCGAATTCTTTTGTCTTTAAACTGTGGAATATGAGTCATCAGGAACAGTGCTGCAGCACATCAGGCAAAGGCTGAATCCCAATAACACAATTCTAGAAACTGTCAGAATTGACTCACACCCAGTGTAAGGGTATAGGTTACAATGAGGCTGACTAAAAATGCGTGGGTGATTTTGGTTGCTTGCAAAAGGTTGTTTTCATTCTACATTCAGAAGAAATCAGAGCTACCACTGTTCCAGCACAAGGCTGCCCTGAAGGTCTTGATGTGGGGAGCTTGCCTTCTGTTAGGTTCAGAAGTGTGAGTGCTCTGGCTGCATTCTCTGTCGTTTTATTTATCCTCACGACTGAGCTAGCAGGCCAGGTGTGTCCTTCCTCTGCTGATTCAAGCGGGCTCTTCTGGAAGGTGTGTGCTCTGTAGAACGAAAAGACTCCCATTTTCGTTTTGGAATATCGGTCCCTAAACACCTTTCTATAATGTCTGAGGAAGATATATTTGTATTGATTTCTACTCTAAGGAGACTAATGTTGCTATAGACCCTTTAACAAATGTGTTAGGAATGCAAATATGCGCCTATGGAAGAATAAAATGTTAATACTACTTAGAATAGTTATAAAAGTATACAATTTATTCATACAGAAATTATCTTACGAATGACCACTGTAGGTAACTGACATCTAGCTATCACATGCAAGTAACTGACACCAGCTTTGAGCCCACTAGCTTAGAATTCTGGTTTGGCAGACCAAAAGATGCATAACCACAAGCTGTTTATCTCATGCTCTCACAAAATAATACTGTCTAGCATGCTTTAGCTCCTGAGAAAATCTAATTTTTCAGTTGCCCCTCTGTTTTCCAGAACCACTCTTTAAGTTGTTGAAGATTTCAGAAACCAAGTCTGTTATCACAGTATTTTCTTGCAGACATCTGATTCTTCCTGAAGGTGGAAGAATCATTAATTTTGTTTATTTTTTTTTCCTACAAGTTTAATATGCTTTGCTCAAGTCTATGGTGAGGATATTATTTGTCCTAGAAAATGACTTAAAAATGTGACAATGATCTCTACAAGTTTGGATTGGTTAATAGACTCAAGATCTTGGCAGTTAGTGATGCTTCATTTAGAAAAATACTGTATTTAGAGACCAGCCATGAAGATTATATTCGGGAAGAAATCTTTCTACAAAAGGGGCCCTCCTTACCTTTCTTTGATTACTAATGGATAGAATATTTTTTCTTGCTTATTAAATATTTAACAACTTCTTTTGTGAATTGTCTGTACATGTATCAGTATTTTTCTTGTTAATTTATATGAGCTTTTTATATATTAACACTATTATTCCTTTATCATTTTGGTGGCCAAATATTTTTTCTAGATTGCCTTTGCCTTCTAATTCTCTTTGTAGTCTGATTAACACTTAAAGTTTAATTTTAAAATCTAGTAAACAATTGTTGTGCTGGAACTATTAACTGTATAATTGTTTTCAAATATGTAAATCTTTAGAAAATATATTTGGACACAATTAAGGATCATAGTTTTGTTAGGGTGATAAATGTGGCTGAAAGATAAGCTAAGCTAAAGTCAGGCTTTGAATTCTAAGGCAAGAGATCCTCCGGTATAAATATGTTTCAGTCTAGTATAGATGTTGTTGGATGCAGTTATGGGTTATGATATGGTAAGGTATCCATGAATGCTAATCTCTTCAAAGCAGTGCAGTGGTTTTCAAGCAACCTGCATTCTGTCATATCTCATTGTCATATTATCTCATTTTCTGTCATATTATCTCATTATTTTGCAACTCTCATAGAAGTCC